GTCGGATGAGCGTCTCCGGCAGCAACATCACCAGGACCGGGACCACAAGCCAAAGACGCTGTGCCCTCAACCTGGCCTTGACCGGCGGCTCACCGCCCACTACACGTGCAGCACCGAGCGTGTATTTCTCCACCAGCTCCTGAAGAAAGCAACTTTTTTGAAGTTGGGCTACGGCCGATGAAAGACTCTGATAGCTTCAGGAGGTATAAAATAACTGCTTTGAAGCTTTGACCCCACCGGCGAAGTCCTGTCGCTCCAGTGCAAGGACGAGTGTCACCATGGAGACAGCGAGGGTGGGCAATTCACACGCCCAGCCAACGGCACCACCGAAATGTCCAAGGAAGCCAACAGCTGCCTGCAATTCGATTCAATTCAACGAGCGGCAGCAAACAGTTGAAACGCCTCAAAACCTCCAGGCACGTGAAACGATGCGGAGACCTTCAGCGAGCCCAGCTTCTGAGGCGGGAACCACTCCACCGGCAACTGCCGCAACGGCCACGTAGGTGGGCAGCGCCTCGCACTGGACAGAATCCCGTCCGTACAGGCCCGCAGCCCGATAATTTCACAACTTCGCAAGCTTTGCCACGTCTTCAGTCAAGGTACAGAAGCCGACAAGGCCGCGAGCCCGCAGAGAGTTTCTGCTTCGGCCTGGTGCATCTCGACATGGAAAGAGAGCGTTTAGATCAAGGGGGTTGGTGGGAGCATTTGTGATTCTGATGGTTCTGTCACTGGTCTGCAACGCTTCCTTCCTCCGCGCTTCTTTGCCCTCCCTTTGCCCCCTGGCACTTGTTGCGGCATGACTGCACCGAAAAATCGACCGCTGGCTGTGGGCACGCATACCGGAACTATCCGGAACTCAGAAACACTCCGAGGCGGCTCTCGCTCTACGTGTAGCGCACAAACTTAGCGTCTGCGACTCTGCGAACCAGCCGGGTAAACTTTCGACATCAGTGGAAAGGTCACCTATAGGACACGCGTCGAAGCGAATCGGAGGCCCTGAAGTCATGCAGGTTGAACATTGAACATGCAGCGCATTGCAGCGCGATCATCCACCTCACTTTCACCCCTTCCCCTCGCGGCACTCAGTCTTCAAGGGACGCTTATCAAACACATCTAGAAGCCACGACCACAGCTTTCGCAAATGCTGTTGGCTGCAAGCTTCACGCACCAACTACGGCGGAAAGAAGGGAAACCCTGCCACAACAAATTACGAAAATGCTGTTGGCTGCAAGCTTCACGCACCAACTACCGCGGAAAGAAGGGAAACCTTGCGACATCAAATTACGAAAATCTTGCCATGCCGAGCCTAGATTTTACGCAACAGCTCGTCTGCCTACCGAGCTGAAGCATTGGACAGATGAGCTTCTGGCATGCCGCTGTTGAAGTAAGGCAGCATCCTTCTTGGCGTAGGCAACCTGCTCCCTGCCTGAGGTGCGAAATCCGCGACACATGCCTCTCTGGTGCGCAGAAAAGTCTCTGAGCTACCAACCGACCCTCTCCTGCCAAACCTGAGCTGGATCTGATAACTTCCACTTACCCAGCGCAAAGCACCGAAAAGCTCGGCAAAACATGATGCACAACTGTGATTTGCTGCGAGGCACGGTAAGGAGCCCAATGCCGCCTGTGACCAGTGGCAGAACCACCTGCGAGGCATCCGCGCCCAACACCGCCGGAGCCGCCTCGATCGGACGCTGCGCTGTGCGCTGGGCAACAGGCAGAGGCGACAAAGGTATGAGGTAACAATGTTTCCGCTTACTTTCCGCTCTTACACCTCCAAGCCTGCACGCTTGCAGCGGCCACAGCTGCGGAAGAGATCCATGGCGACCACTCTTGCGGTATGCCCTCGGCAATGCCGATCTGCGCTTCCTCAAATCAACGAGAACAGTTCTCTCCATTGCACTGAATACCGACCACTTCAACAGTAGCGCCGCGCTCCTTCGTGACTGGTTCCAGCACATCTTGAACAATCGCTTCCGAGATCGACAAGGTGTCTTCATCCTGCGAACCCACCAGACCAGCAGGGAAGTACCCAAGTTTGATTGTGTGAAACATTAGGGCCCAAGCCAAAACCATCTTGTCTCTGCCAGTGTTCTTGACTTCAACCACTCCTGAGGTCTCAGTGCTCGAAAGGGACAGACAGAACGGCGAATAACGTTTGATCCAAGTTGCTCTGCTCGTTTACCGTCTTAGACTGCGAGAACATGCCGAGCTCCGCCGCGACAAGGTGGACCTCTTGTGTGCTGCAGCATATGAAACAAACTGAAAGGCTGCAAAGTGCTCAGACCTAGAACTCCCCGCCTCTCGGCGGCCTTCCTTGGACCGTATTTTGAACGTCTTCGTTTCCCCGACTTCCAGTGCGCAGATTTTATTTCGCATCTCGCTGTCAGCCGGAAAAACTTCTTTCTGCAAACGGCCAATCTCCACCAGCGAGGCATCTATCGCGTTGCGGTTCCGCGTCACTTTAGGACCATACTTCACCTGTCGAGCTTCCTTCGTCGCTGCATCCGATTCTACTCTCACCAGCTTCGTGTTCCTTAGCTGCACAGATATATACATGTCTGTATAGCCCAAACTCAAACCTATCAATTCACTGCATCAACAGCTCCCAGCTCCAGGCTCAATGAAATACGTGCTCCACCAAGAGTCAATATGGATTGAAAAGCTTGCTGCACAGATCCCCATGGGAAGAAAATAGCTGCGAGCCTCGAGAATTCCTCGGCCACAACCACAACTTCACTACCACTCGGCCACTGGCAAGAGAATGCTACTTCCCGACACTTCGAAGAAAGCGTCGACGACCAGATCTGCAGCACCGCGCGCGGCAGCGGACATGGCGCTGCGAACCTCCGGCCGCTCGATGCTCGACCGATGTGATGGCGCTTTTTTCACGCACCGTGCTGGGGCCCGTGCCGGGATAATGGCAGCCTCCTCTTGCGCTTGAGCACAGAACATCTCGGCGAGCGCCGCCTGGTCTCACACCCGTTCTCCGAAACACTGCATCAAACAAACAGCTGGCCGATGAATTGACAACGGGCCTGTTTCGACTGCTGTGCACATCGCTGCTCCGCATCTGTAAAGTCCCGCTCACCCAGCAGAAACGCCACTGCTGCCTGGCTCAAGTATGCTCGACAAGCATCCGCCATTGCCGACTTGCCACCGCTCCAACTCCAACGAAGCAGCATTCCAACTTTGCCTGAGCAGCAGCAGATGCCGAAATAACGACGGAGGCATTGTCCAGAAGTTCCTGCAGTTCCTGCACAAAGAGCGCACGGAGACGCTTCTGCCTGGACCCTGCTGCACTGACCCCTTCCAGGTGGCACAGGTCCTTGTTAAACAGCAGCGGGTTCGTGGATGCCTCGGAGCACATCTCAACCAAGATCGCCCTGTGAGAGACCTCCCGCAGCACTAAGCACTCGACCAAGTTGAAGTCAACTCCACTTACCTTGCTGTCCCAATCAAAAGTACTGTCCAGGGGCGGTGCCAACACATGTCACAACTTCCTCTGAAAACCTTCTACTGGAAGGGATTTGTTGCGGGAACTTCTAGCTGTCGATTTGTCAGGCATTCAGGTGCGTCCTGCGGAGGTCCGCTCCTGTAGCAGTTTAGCAGTCGAGCGGGGCTGCTAGCACGACACGACATGCTCCAAGATACGATGAAGGGAACAGGAACCAAACAGAAGAAGATGGTGGCAAGGACCACATTTCGCTCATCCTCACAAGGAAGGTCAAGCACAACTCAAGCATGAGCAGGCTCCGACTTCTGTGGCCTCCGGCGTTGGCTCCTTGGCCCGTTTGGGCAAACGACCTGCTTCCCAATCACTTGCGGCAGAGTTCTGGATGCTTTCATCCAGGATCAGCGCTGCTCGGGTTGCCACCTCGGGAGGAAATCTTGGAAAGAAGGGCAGCCACGTTGTGCGCATGCCAAGATGGAGAATGAGGCTGGGGCATAGGTGAGGCTAGTGAGGATTGCTCCATACACGGAAGCCGTGGCGAGCAAAATTAGGATAACGTTGTCCCCCGCAAGGATTGTTGAAAACGACTCTCCTTCAGGCAAGAAATCGCCAATTTTCTCGTTGAATATTCTCAAGCTCACGCAGGCTGCCGATGTGATTGCCGTCAGCCCAACTCCGAAAGGAAAAAATACCGTCTTCGCCTCTGCCGTCGCTAGGCTTGACTCAGCCAGGGCAGCAATCCTGGAGGATTGCCCGTAGTTGTACTTCGACTTTGCTCTGTATCTGCCAGCAGCACTTTCAGACAGGGAGGAATACAAAAAGATTAGCGTTGTCAGTGGCGGTAACCACACAAACAGTTCCGGTGAAGCAGCAACAAGGGTGGCCAGTGCAGATAGCCCTGCCGCGGAACCTGTTGCCAGAATAGTCTTGATGGAAAGCAAAGGGGTCGACATGCGAAGAGCTTCTTGATCCAACTGAATGGACTCGATGGCAGCTCTCAGTTTGCGATTCTCGACAGGATTTCCAGCACCTTGCAGTTCTGCGACGTCTGTCACCTCTGTCTTAGCGCGCTCGACGACCACAGAGTCGTCGACAGCGTCTGCGACCGGCTTTTCGAGTGTCAGGACTTCCGGTTCAGCTACTGCCTTGGTTGGCAACCTTCCGCGATGATGAGAACCTTGTCCGACCAAGTATCCGGCATGACTTCTCGACGGTGAGCTGCTCACGTTCGCAATGAAACAGTTCACTGCAGACAGAGCAAGATATCCAAAAAGGACACTTGCGAGCACTCGGGGCAACGCCCTCATTCGGCTTACCCTCAGCCCGTCCCTCCCAGCCGGATGCCTTGGCGCAACGCTGAGCCAAAGCGGCGCGATCCAAAACAAACGTCTGAAGTCGGCACTTCGGGCAGGGAAATCTGCAGCTTGAAAAGCTTTAAGGAGCATGGATGCG